TGGCAGTTTTGGCTCAGTTTTTGGGCGGTTTCGGATCAGTTTTTTGGGCGGTTTCGGATCAGTTTTTGGGTAGTTTCAGATCAGTTTTTGGGTAGTTTCGGATCAGTTTTTGGGCAGTTTCGGATCAGTTTTTGGGCATTTTTGGGTCAGTTTTAGATCAGTTTTTTTGGGCAGTTTCGGATCAGTTTTTGGGCAGTTTCAGATCAGTTTTTCGGGGCCGTTTTGGCTCGGATTTTGGGCAGTTTCAGATCAGTTTTTTGGGCAGTTTCAGATCAGTTTTTGGGCAGTTTCGGGGCAGTTTTTTGGGCAGTTCCGGCTCGTTTTTTGAGCAGTTTCGGATCAGTTTTTTGGGCAGTTTCGGATCAGTTTTTTGGGCAGTTCCGGCTCGTTTTTTGGGCAGTTTCCGATCAGTTTTTGGGCAGTTTCGGATCAGTTTTTGGGCAGTTTCGGGGCAGATTTTGGGCAGTTTCGGCCCGGATTTTGGGCAGTTTCAGATCAGTTTTTTGGGCAGTTTCGGGGCAGATTTTGGGCAGTTTCGGCTCGTTTTTGTGGCAGTTTCGGATCAGTTTTTGGGCATTTTTGGGGCAGTTTCAGATCAGTTTTGGGGCAGTTCCGGCTCGGATTTTGCGCAGTTTCGGATCAGTTTTTGGGGCAGTTTTTGGGCAGTTTCGGATCAGTTTTTGGGCATTTTTGGGGCAGTTTCGGATCAGTTTTTTGGGCAGTTTCGGCCCGGATTTTGGGCAGTTTCAGATCAGTTTTTTGGGCAGTTTCGGGGCAGTTTTTGGGCAGTTTCGGCTCGTTTTTGGGGCAATTTCCGATCGATTTTTGGGGCAGTTTCGGCTCGTTTTTGGGGCAGTTTCGGATCAGTTTTTTGGGCAGTTTCGGGGCAGTTTTTGGGGCAGTTTCGGGGCAGTTTTTGGGGCAGTTTCGGCTCGGTTTTTGGGGCAGTTTCGGGGCAGTTTCGGGTCCCTCCCGCCGCCGCTCCCCCCCCGCCCCCCCCGCCCTTGGTACCGTCCAGCGCCGCCCGCGCGCTCCGTCCGCTGGGGGGCGCCCTCCCGGCCCCGCCCCTCCGCTGACGTCACTTCCGGCGCGGCCCCGCCA